GTGCTCAGCAGTGAATGCTTGCCTTGTCATGGAAGGGCCCCAAATGCGATCATTACATACTTATTAGCCCTACAAAATAACAAAGCTGGAATCTACACTCTGGAACCAATGGATTTCCTGCTGGAATGAGTTCAAGGGGTGCCCTGACCAGCATTCCCTGTAAGAGCCAAAACAGTGCTACCCCAAGCCCCTGGGCCTCCCCTACCCAGCTGATTGTACTGAGACCCACTCAACTCCACCTCACAGCTCCCACTGAACAAAAGCACTTATTTTGCTCCAGTTTCTATGGTGTGGAGGCTGGGAGTCCACCCCAAGGGCAGAGGACTGCCTCCTCCTCTTCCTCTTGCTCCTCATCCTCAATGCTGATGGCCATGGAGCCGTCCTTTCTGCTCCCCAAGGTGGCCCCCCATTCACAGGGATGTCTCCACTGTTGCTCCTCTTCCACCCACCCCAACGCAAATGTGCTCCATGCCCCAAGAAGGAACATGTGACAAATCTACATTCCTCAAACTTGACTTTGCCCTGTTCAATCTTGGGCTGTATTCTCTGGAATGTCCTCTTTCCCTGTTGCTCCATCTAAGTAGTCCCTGAGCAACTCTGCTACGTGCCTGCCGCCCAAAGCTGTCCCCACAACCAGGACCAGTGCCATTGACATAGGTGCCCTCCCACCTTAGCACAAGGAATATGCCTGGCACTTGATATCTCTCCTGATGCTGCGTTGTGTGGAAGCCTGGGCAGCAATAGGTGTCAACCCTGGTTCAATCCCTTAGCGCACAGCCACACTGTCTAGTACAGAGTTGACCTCTAACAAATGCTCAGGGAATATACAAAGGTACCCTATTAATTAATAAAAGTGTTAAATGATCATGAAGCCTAAATCTGCCCCCATCTGTTTTACACCAAGAATGAGTTCATCAAAGGCTCCCCTACAAATCAAGTCTTCCATGGTGCCAGCACTTACCACAGAATCCAACCCAAAGTCCAAAAGGCAAATTTGAGAACAGACTCAGCCCCCATCCCATACTGACTCATCACAGAAAGTCCTGCCTCCCTCTTCCCTCCCCCAATCCCAAGCCAACCCTGCGAGGCGGGCAGAGAGGCCATGCTGGAGAATGAGGACCAGCAGAGGAGTCGGCGGCAGGAACATCTGTATAAACATGGGCTCACACATCTCAGGAAGGCTGCCCCACACAATCACTCCCCCCAGGTCTCCAGTCAGAGAAACGGGGGGCGGGGGGGGGGCACAGAGAGGTTAAGTGGCAGTGGCTTTCCCAATGAAACAGCAATTCACTTGGGTGTATGTGGTGGGGGATAGATACCTGCCTAGCACTCACCCCCAAAGCACCGTCACCAGAATGGGTTGTGAGAAGCACAGCTGGGGATTCTGGGTACCCAGCACACAAGGCACATACCCACCCCCTTCTTTTTTCTTTTTTTTTTTTTTTTAACTGTCCTGAGGAGGAGGAAGCAGCGGATCTGATGGTTTATTTACCATTCCTTGGCCTGACCTTCTAGGAAGAATGTCACTAATGGGAAACAATCCACTTGAATTCTCAAATCTGGATTTTTCATAGGAACCAATTTAGAATTCCGAGGTCTAAAAGGACAAGGGTAATACCCATCATCTCCTTTTCAAAGAAGAAGAGGGATGGGAGGCAGGGTGGGGGGAGGGGCATGAAGCAACAGAAGATTTCCAGTCTGGAAGGAAGTTTGTGTGTGTCAAGCCAATCTCAGACCCAAGGTTACAGTCTTCCCACTGTTCCGACCCCGGCCAACTGGAGTTGTACTGGAAGAAAAATATTCTCCTTAAGTTCTCCCTTGGGTGCTGTGGGCTGAGGGGAGACCTCGAACCAGAGAGCCACGGCTATGGCTGCGTTTTTCTCTAATGTAATAGCGAAGCTCACAGCTAAGCCAGTAGCTGGGAACTCTGTCTCTGAAAAGAGATTTCACCCTCCCTCACAGGCATGGGACAGTTTTTCCTGTCCTGAGGAAACACGTGGCCATCCCGGACAGCCAAATGTCCACATCATGCAGGCAGGGGCCCCGTCTTCTTCTCTTGCTGCCCCCCTTGGACATTAATGCACTCATTAGACGGCCCACAGGGAGGAGAGCCACCAAAAAGGGAGCTCTTCTAAGCAAAAAGAGAGGTTTTGTTATTAACAAAAAAAAAAAAAAAAAAAAAATTTAAAGCCTGCTTTCACTGCAGACTCCAGAAGTCTGTGACTCACACCCTCGGTCCATCTCTTATTCTTGCGACAAGGTGTGGGCAGCACATGCTGCTGCAGTCCAACTGCTTATTACCCAGCAGGCATGGAGAACTCACAGATTCTTTTCGAGCTCTGCCCCACATCTGGCAGCACAGGTCATAAACCCCTCAGGTGTGAGATGCTCTGTTTCACTGGGGCTCAGCTCAGCAGACGCCGTCTCTCCACGACCCAACAACAGCAAGGGCAGTAGTACGACTCTATTCCAGATTCTCAGCATGCCATCGTCCCCATGAACAAGAGCAGGGTGTGCAGGGCGTAACTATGTTTCCTTGGTTTGGAGGAAGGCTGAGAAGGAATCACATGGAACAGGAGACTAAGGATCTGAGCATCCAGGCAGTTCCTGCTACCAACCAGCTGGACAAAAGGCTGCCTACTGCGGCCTCAGGCATTGCTGGCATTGTGTGATGCAATGAATCACTATGTGCAGCATCCACAGCACAGCACCCGGAATGTTGCGAGTACTAGGTTAGCTGTTGCTTGTTTCTATAGCACCAGGGCCTCGCCCATCCCTTTTAGGAAGGAAAACTTCGTTCCTCTGAAGTTGCCAGTTCTGTATGTCCTGTGCACCTGCTCCAGCAAACTTTTCCCCATCACAGGCTGATAAAGCAGGAGTTTCCAGGGTGCTGTAGAAGAGTAGAAAAAGCCCTCTCCCTGAGTTTTGCCTTGCACGATCCTAAGAGAAAACCCTAATGGGAAGGGGCAACTCCTTTTAGTCACCCAACTTGCATTTTTCCTGTGGCTCTCGATCTCCTGGGTTCAGTTGGCAACGTTATCTTGGCACAGAAATGGCATCTGTCCAGTGAGGGGAAGGATGTTTAGAGGAACTTCACGGATGGAATATGGTCTTCGGGTCTCTGCTCAGCCCCAGCCCTGGGGCCCTGCTGGTTGGAGTCTAGAGCCTTCTGCCAACCCAATGACAGAACCCAGATATTTAGGCTGGTGAACCCTGGGAACATCACCCCCACATCATCGTGTCTTCAGCTAACACAGCTAACATCAGGTCGCAAGGGCTCCTCCAAGACCCCCGCTGCACGCAAGGCTCGCCTTCATGATGAGGAAACCAAGGCTCAACCAGGCTGTCACCTGAGACAGAAGCCCAACTAGTCCAGGCTGCCTTGTTTCAGTTGTGGGTGACATGCTTCCTGCGCCTGCCACAAAGCCCTACAAAGTCAGCACTATTCCCTCAGCAACCACCAAAAAACTCTGATTTTTGTGCAAAGAGGATCAGGGTGAGTGGACAGGAAAGTTGGGGTTGATTGGATCCTGGAGAATGGATCCCCCTGGGGAGACCAGAGGGACAACGGGATTTGGAGCTAAACCTCAACCCCAGGTGCTGCCACCTCTCAGCTGGGCTCCCGGCTGGGCTGGGACGAGGGGGCCCTTAGCCATAATGCCTCCAATGTGGGGTTTAAGTCAATAAGACTTCAGAGAAGTTACGGTATGTTTAATAACAGCTTAATGACTTCTTGTGAGATGCAAGGCTTCTGGTTCCTGTTTGGCCCTGATTTACAGCCCAGCCCGGGTTGAGGACAGCCAAGAAGCCCCCTCTAAGCCTCTGGCGGAAGAGGGAGGTGTTCACACCAGGCCTTTTGGATTCCTTTAAAAATTGAAAATTCAAATGAAATACAAATGATATCTGACTCCACCCCCCCCCATTCCCTCTTCTGGCTAGATCTCTAGGGCATGGAAAATAAAAATGCTCCACCCAGACCCAAAGGCTTCCTAACCTAGGAGCAGTGACAGGTTCCAGGGATACTTTTAGGGCAGGGGCTGTGACTTTTCTTAAAACAAAACAAAACAAAAACAAAACTAAACGATTGCTCTAAGCCTCTTGTCCTTTTGGCTGGGAAAATCCAGCTTTTAGCAAATACAGTCCAACCCTTACTCCCCCACCCTTTAAAATGGCGTCTTCAAGCAGCAGGGCCCCGACACCCATCCACCTGCGCACACAGCTTTTCTCCCCGGGGGGCCCCAGGGACCCTGATGCTCATGGGCCTATGAAGTGGCTCCTTCCCTGTATGCCTGTGGTACCCCCAGGGGCTGGTCCCTGCAGGGCTTTGACTGACCTGCCCCTGGGCAGCTCTGTTCTGCCCTGCTTCTGCTCCTGCCACTCAGTTGTGATTTACAGAAAGTCAAGAGCACAGTCACGTAAGGATTCTGAGGCTCCACTGCTAATCAGTGCTCTCTGAGGCTCCACTGCTAATCAGTGCTCCCCAAACCCAGCTCAAATTTGCGTCCACACCACAGTCCCAATGACCCCTTCTGAGAAGCAAGACATCTGCTGGGCTGGCGTGGTGTCCAGCTGGCTCCCGGGGCAAAGAGCTGAGTGTAGTCCCCATAGCCCACGCCCTGCCTGCCGATGTGTGTGTGGGGTGGGGGGAGCCTCATCCCAGGCTGTCAGGAGAACAGGCATGGGGTTATAGAGGAGGAGGTCTATCCGCACGCTGCCTCCCCTTCTCTCCAGCAGCAAAAGCCACTGGGCTGGTATCAGGACCAAGGGTGCTGCTGGAGCCAGTCACTTACCCGCATGGGCACAAAAGGGACTCTGCCCTGAAACCGCTTTCTTCTCCTCGGCTCTCTTGCTCATGCTGCCTGGGTCGAGGGACGCTGGGCTCCGGGGTGAATTAGGGGGTTCCCGGGCTCCGAGGGGTTAACGTGCGCGGGGCCGCACGTGACGTGGATGATTCCAGCATTAAGTCAGAGGCGCGGCCCCCCATTGCCCTCGGCCCCCCAACCCCCCGCGGCGTGCGCCGCTCCCGGGGGCTCCGCGCCCCCCGCGCCCAGGTCCCTCCCCCTTGGCGGGCGCTCGCAGGCGGCGCGGGCAGCGCGGGAGCCCCGGCGGCCTGTGCGCCCCCAGCCGGCATGGACCCCGAGCGCTGCGCGCCCTTCGCCTTGGGGCCGGCGCCTGGCCCTTATGCGGCCTCTGGGGATGAGCCTTCGGGCCCCCAGGGGAACCCCGCTGCTGTGTCTCACCTGCACTCCGCGCCTCCCCGCGGCCCACGGCTGACCCGCTTTCCGGCCTGCGGGCCCCTGGAGCCCTACCTCCCGGAGCCTGCCAAGCCGCCCGCCAAGTACCTGCAGGACCTAGGGCCCGGCCCTACGCTCAACGGCGGTCACTTCTACGAGGGCCCCGCGGAAGGTAAGGCGCGGCAAGGAAGCAGCGCGCAGCCCTGACTCTCTCTCTCCGTCCTCTCTCTCTTCTGCCTTCCCACCCAGACCCCGGCGGCTTTCTTCCGCTCGCGACTTAGCTCAACTTTTTGTCCCTCTCGTCTTCTCGCCAAGTTGTCGCCGGCCAGGACCAGGTAAAAGCCAGGGCGGTACGGTAGAGTCGCCCGCGACCCCGGGCCGCAAGAGTAAAAACCAGGAGGTCGAGAAAGGGCGGAGCAGCGACCACCCGGAGCCGGGTCAGGGCTTGAGCCAAGACGCCCGAGCTCCGTCCTGCGCGGCCTGACTTGGTTTTGAACTGCCGGCAACCCGCGAGTCCCAAACCGCCGGGTTACGTTATGCTGAGCCCCGACGCGGGGATGAGAAGGGCGGCTTTTGTGTCTGATCCCGGCCGAGGGCCCAGAGGCTGGGCCTCCATCTCGAACGGCCACGTCGGGCTCTGCCCTGGGCCGGCCTCCGCGGAAAGGGCGCTCGCTGCCCGTGGGGGAAGCGCTCGGGGCGACTGGTGGGACCCTTCTCCCAGCGCAAGACGCTCGGTTATTTCTCCGACTAACCTGGCCTTCCCCCGTTGTTGTACACGGTGATGGCCGCCTTGCCGGCTTCTGGCTTCCTGGCCCGTCATGGCTGGGCCTTCGGGAGCAGCCCCGGGAGGGCCTAACCCCTGGGTACCTGGTGCTCCTGGGTTGGCGTCCAGCGCGCCAAATCCTGCCCGTCGACCGCGTCTCTGCCCGCACCTGGCGCGGGGTTTGGCACGCTGGCGCACAGCCCACTGCATCCGCTGACCTGTCGGGAGTGTCCGTGTGTGGTGCCAACTGCCGTCCGCTGCCACATCCCTATTGCCTAGGCCCAGAGTCGGCTCCTCTGAGATCCTCCCGAGCCCGCCGGGCGCCTCCTCCGCCCCGCCGGCGCCTCACCGGCTTCCATGGAGTGGCCGGGCAGCCGATGCTTTGGTCCGGCTGGGGGTCGGGGTGGAATGTATAGAGGAGAGAGGACGAGGAGGTGTGTGGGGGTCAGCGGAGGAAATGAGTGAGTCCTTAGAGCTTCTTGTCTGTGCCCTTTGAAAGAGACTCTCCTGATAAAAACCACAGTTGAGACTTAATGAGAAGCAGTTGGCCTGGCTCCTCTGATCCCAGCCAGACGGCGGCGGCCGCGCAGCGCCTACCGCACGGCCGGGGACAGGTACCATCCTGGCGCAGGGCGCTGCGCCCGGCGGGACCCAGCCTGCGGGGCTCGCGCGTCCCACAAGATCCGACCCTGGCGCCCAGAAATTAAGAAGAGTGCTGGAGCCCAACGAGGGGTCTGGGAGTGCCTCGGCAAGCTGGGATCCGACGGCGAGTAGGTGACAACGAAATGAGGAGAAAGAAATGCAAAGAATGTGGAAAACAACCAGAAAACGGGAGGCGGAAATTAAACCAAACAATCGAGGATGACTACGGGAGGCCAATGCTTGTTGGTTAGCTGGGAAGGTCGGAAACGGGAAGAACAAAAATGAAGAATGAACGAAGAAAAAAAAAAGGCAAGCGAAAAATCGAAGGAAGCGGGTCGGTCGGGGAGGAGAGAGAGAGAGAGAAGGACCAAGAGGAAGAGACCGAACAAAACGAAAGAAAGGGTGAGTCCTCTGAAAGAGTGGACACAACGGACAAGAACGGCCAGCCCCCGCTTTCCGGGGAACTGAGCGCAGGCCAAACAAGAGAAGGCGCGGCGGGTACGCGTGGGACCCGGCCGGGCACGCTGGCGGCCACTTGCCTTTCGTGCATCCCGGCGGGAGCTCCGTAGGCTGCTCTCGGCCATGCCCTGGACCGACCCCAGCTGGGCGCGCCGCACCAAACCCGGCCGCTGGGGTGGAACGGACCCCAGCTGGGCGCGCTGCACCAAACCCGGCCGCTGGGGTGGAACGGACCCCAGCTGGGCGCGCTGCACCAAACCCGGCCGCTGGGGTGGGACGTGTCTGCCCTGCACGGTCTCCTCGGTACTAAGCGGTGGGTGAACCGGGGGCGCCCAGCTTTAATTCCATGTCTTTATCACATAATCGGCACAGAGCGTTTCCAGTTTATACCAGTGAGCGCGCAGCTGCACCGCATGTGCTGCGCGATCTGGGCCGGAGCTGGGGGGCTCTGAAAAGGTTCTTTCCCTCCTGCCGTGCGGCCGGGGCTGCCTCAGCATCTCAGCAACTAGCACTTGGCCTTCTGCGGACCGGAGCTGGGTGCTTGCCTGCCCGCCGAATCAGCCACCCTGGCGCCCTCCACGTGGGGAACCAGAGGATGGGCCCTGACCGTTCCTTGCTTCTGCCCTGCCAGGACACCCATTTGTCCTTGGAGCTTAAGCCTCTGACCCCGGACATCCGGACATCCAGAAGGTGTCCCCCGCTAGAATTTTGCCAGTTAACCACGGAGCCCCAAGCCACTGCTCTCAGTGGGCCTCAGGGAGGCCTCTGTGCTGAGGCTGGACACTTCTAGTATGGGGTAGCCAGGCCTCTTCGGGGTCCTACGCATGACATTTGTGTCCACCCAGGCTTGAAACATTAGGCCAGAGCTGTGGCAGGCAAGTTTCAGCAGGCTGGCTGTGCAGGTTGCTTGGCAGTTTTGAGGGAATCCATTGCAGCTTGGGCTGACAAGGATGCAATGGATGTGCTGCTTCCCCACTGGGCCGGCAGACCTCCTTTGTGCCTTAAAGGGGCCCCAACTTCCACAGACCTGGGAGATGTTGCTGTGGTCCCTGCACTGGCAGTGCTGCAGCCAGAGGCTGTCGTCCTCCAGCACAGGTTGAACCTTCCAGCACCTGGAGCTCCCGCAGGCGGGCCGCCCTGCAGAGCAGCCACTTCCCTAAGTGCCAGGGAAGCTGTCCTCCCTTGGTCTTGGTTCTCTTTTCTTCCCTGCCTTGCCCACATTCATTCAGAAGAGAGGGGCCCTGTCCTCCAAAGACGGGAAGCTGCCCTCTACCTGAGGTCCTCTGGGCAGGTCACAGGGTGTTTCAAGGGTATGGCCCTGAGGAGTGGCCAGCTTTCTGGCCTCTAGCAAGTGCTGTCCCCTGGGCAGATGCAGAGGTGGACAGAGGGCTGCGGATGTGGCCTCACTGGCAGATAGCCGATCTAGGAGTCTGGTTGCATTCACTGCCAGCCTTGACTCTGACAGCTAGCTGACTCACTGTTAACAAGGTGAACTCCAGGGCTCCAGATTTGGCCACTTCCTCTAGGCAGGTCCCGTTAAGGTCAACAGTGAGGGTTCAGGATGCAGGTGGGCCAGTGCCAGGGCTTTGGCACTGGTGGCAACATGGAGCCCCAGCCCAGACCCCTTTTTCTGCACCCCTACACTGGGTCCCCTCATTCTTCCTCTGGCCAGAGTGTCCAGCATGGCCTCCCTATGAACCCCAAACAGCAAGATTTTTATCCCTCGACCCACTTTGAGGGCCTGTTATGTGTGTGGGGGTCCCCCTCCAGTCTGATCATTTTCAATTATTTCATTCAATTTCCATGAGTCCTTTCCCACCACCTCTCTCCTCCGAGCATCTACCAAATGGAATTAACCCTGGAACCAAAATGTGTCCGCCAAGAGCGGAAACCGGGTGGGGGAGGGTTGGGGAAGGGGCTGGGAAGCTTTCTCCACTTTGGTCTAGTTACGCTATGAAGGTGTGTGCACTGTAGCCATGAGCTATATAGATTAGGCTCTGGGACATATACATCAGGGAGCAGCTGCTTTCACAGCCTGGGTGGTCCTGGGAGGTCCCTGACCATCTTCTAGCTGGGGGACGGCAGTGGGACCTTGCCCAGCTTGTCCTCTGCAGTGCAGCAGTGACCCCAAGAAGCCCATCTCCCCTTGCCCGTGGTTTCTCCAGTGCAGCTGGGCTGCTGAAACCAGGACCCCCTTCCACCCCACCCCCAGGAAGGAGCCGCCTTTCAGTGCCAGCTCGCTGGGCCTCCTGGGGGCCAGGCCCCCACTGGCAGTGGGCCTGGGGCCAGGAAAAGGGACTGTGTGAGTCACTGGGGCGTCTTGGTGGCGTCGCCTGCCAGTCCCAGCAGACTGTTGCGGAGGGCCTTCTTCGAAGAGCCGCCACCACTGCTGGGGGTCCTAGCCCCAGGGAGAGGGCGGGGGCGATGAGGGTGACCTAGTTTTTGCCATGCCCTGAGGGTGGTGGGTGGTGGTAGGGCTCCCCAAGCTCCCTAAGTGAGGTTAACACGTCAGAGCGGGTGGGGCTGCTGGGAACCCTTCCCTCCCTGGCTGCTCCTCCCAGGCAGCTCCTGTGGAGCCAGGAGAGGGATATACCCCCAGCCTAGCCTGTCTTGCCTCTGCCCTGCTGTGGCCAGAGCTCAAGTCCTGGGCCAAACATCATGGTTTGAGGATGGATGAATGGGGAGATATTTCTCTGCCCTTTGTTCCACCCTCCCTCCCCGCCACCGGCCGGCCAAGTTGACATTGACCTGAGCCAGAGTCCAGAGGATGAGGCCCTGAGGGCAGAGGGCATGGGTGGGCACAAGGGCACGGGAGCCAAGGCCTGCAGAGTCAGAAATAGTGGGGGAGCCCTTCCTAGCAGGGGCAGAAAATGCTAACCACCCCCTCCTTGCCCCTTCCCCCATGCCCTTTCTCTTGGCACTGCCAGGGTGGCGGTCCCCACCATGGCGCCAATCTCGGCACCTCCACACCCCATGGGACGCACCACCACAGAGCACTTCCCCGAAATGAACTCCACTCTGGCCCCAGCAGATCCACCCCAGACCATGGAACACATGGTTCCCCTGGGCCCCCTCCTCAGCTGGAGGCCTGAAAATGCCAGGCTCCCCTGGGTGGGGGACAGGAAGGGTAGGGCAAGGGGAGGCGGGGCAGGAGGCGGCAGAGCTTTTCCCCTCCCTCCAGTCCGCCCACAAAAGCCCCGGGTCCCATTTCCATCCTCTTCTCTGTGTCTTCCATTGCAGCTGAAGAGAAGGCCGCCAAAGCCGCCAGCTTCCCCCAGCTGCCTTTGGACTGTCCCGGCCGCCCTGCAGACGTGCCCTCCACCTTGCAGGGCTCCCCGAGACCCTGCCTGGCCAGCCTGCGTGTCCCCCTCTCCCCGGGACTCTCCGACTCCATGGAGTTGGCCAAGAACAAGAGCAAGAAGCGCCGGAACCGCACCACTTTCAGCACCTTCCAGCTAGAGGAGCTGGAGAAGGTCTTCCAGAAGACACACTACCCTGACGTGTATGCCCGGGAGCAGCTGGCTCTACGCACAGACCTGACTGAAGCTCGGGTACAGGTGAGAGCGCTGTGGGCCAGACAAGGGGAAGTTTTGGCCACTCCTTTTCCTCCACCTGCTCCCCACTTCTGGGGTGCCCTGTTGGAGTAACAAGCTCCATGTGCAAGGACTAGCTATGTCATGTCCCAGCTGTCCAGGTGACTTTGAGGCATTTCCTTGGCTCTTGAGTCTGTTTTCCAACTGGGGACCAAGGCCTGTAGCAGGCATAGCTTAGAGAGAAACTTGAGGGTGCCAACATTTTGAAAGCAGAGCTATGCTGAGCATGGTTCAGGGCACCCTGTGGTTAGGAACCAAAGGATCTTGCTAGGATCTCTCTGGGCTGGCCACCCTCCAGGTTCTTGTGGTCTTCAGTCCTTGCCATCTCTGGATTCCTGTCTGGAAGAAGCCAGTTCGGAACCCTTCTCCATCTGACAACAAAGCCTTCCCCACAGAAGGCTCCTTGGATGGGGTTAGCTTCCCACACGGGTAGCCCTGCGCTGGGGATGAACGGGTGGACTTGGGGAAGGGGGAAGAAGAGGGAGGTCTGTTTTCTGGCATGTTAGAAATGAAGGTGGCAGGCAGGGGGCAGGTGGATGTGATGGGACAAATGTGAGGTTCTGCAGGAGTCTGGCCCAAGGGAGGGGCAGAAGGTCCTGGGGCTCCCAGCAGGAGGGATGGACAGGTGGATTTGGGGCTCCGGGAAAAAGTGAGAAAGTGACTTAAACAAGTGACTTAGGAGGAGCTGGCTTCTCATGCTCAGCCTGTGCCCTTGCAGAGTCACTGCGAGAGTGAAGACACATTCACTTCCTGCCATCTAGCACGGAAGTCTGGGGCAGCACAGCTGGCCCCTGCCTCTCCTGGGCCTTTTCAACCCTGGAACAATGCAAGGACAGCCACAAGTCCACTAGGTCTTATCGAGGTGTTTCCCTGACGGTTATTTTTTCTGGTGGGAGTGTGATTCCCACAAGGCCATACTGAGGTTAGGCACAGAGCTCAGGCGGGAGGGGTGGGGATGGGGCAAGAATCACCTGTGACGTTGGCAGGTTCCTTGGCTCCAACCTGCAGAGGAGAGAGAACAGAGAAAGGAAATCTGGGCAGGTTTATAGGTGGTGGTGGTCCTTCCCTGACCCCCACCAGGCCTGCTGCGGGATCTCTGCAACCTTGGAGCCGGAGGACCAAGGTCTACATGGCTTCATGACCGTCAGCACTCTACTGATCTACAGGGGCAGGAATTCCCATGGGGGAGTGCCAGGTACTACCGGGGTGGCTCCTTGTGCCAGCCTGGATAGCTGGGTTTTTACATACGAGTGTGCAACACACATCCACATCCGCACTCACAGCTTCTTCAGCTAGATCCTTGGAGAGCAGGGGTTGTTTGGTTTTGATATTGTCAGCTTATAGCCAGAGTGTGACACTCAACTGTTTAGTAAGGGGTAGAAATACAAGATACAGTCACTGATCCACGTTTACACAGCAGGCAGTGTATCCCAGGCAACAGATTCACCACAGACACGCATGCCAGTGTGCACAGCACACACAGACTCAGAGCTCACAAATCAGCGAGAAAGATTCCAACAGCCATAGACTATGCTGTGTACAGTGAGAGCCAGCCAGGGGACGGGGACCCAGCCTGCACTTCCATGTTAAGGTACAGGGAACTCAGGCCAGGTGAAGCCCAGCAGAGGTGGGAAGGAGCAGGGTCGCAGAGTGTGTGAGGAAGAGCTAGGATGGGAGCCTGTGAAGACAAGGACTTGAGACATCAGGGACAGCAGGGTCCAGTGCCTGGGAAGTGGCAGTTGGCAGCCAGTGGGGGCCACTCAAGATCCTCCAGCCTGAAGCTAACTCTGCAACAACAAGGGTTTATGACTGTCTCTCCCGGTGGACTCCATTCCTCAGAGCTGCTCCCATACCCCCTCCACCTTCCCAACCTATTGCCCACCCTCCCAGGTCTGGTTCCAGAACCGCAGAGCCAAGTGGCGGAAACGTGAGCGGTATGGGAAGATCCAGGAGGGACGAAACCCCTTTACAGCCTCCTATGACATCTCAGTGCTGCCCCGCACTGACAGCCACCCCCAGGTGAGACCTCACATCAGTTTGCTCTGCCTGGAGGGGTGGCCAGTAATACTCCAAACCCTGGCGAGCTTAGTGCACAGCCTCATGCAGATGTCTGCATTCTACATTGGAGTGCCTGGGTTTGAGTCCTGGCTGCACGGCTGACTGACCTATTCATGCAGACCCTTGGAGGGGGCAGTGGGATGGCTTATGTAATGTTAAGTAATGTCTCCCTTTATGAGAGACCTGGATTGAGTTCCTAGCTCATGGGTTCAGCCTGGCCCAGCCCTGCTGTTGGGAATACATGGGAAAGGTGAATCAGAAGATAAAAGCAAATAAATTGATTTAAAATGTAATATAGATAGATAGATGATAAATAGATGAGCTCTGGCTTGGGGAGGCCTGGAGCAACATCAGGGCTGTGTGTGACCTTGGGCAAATCCTTTAATTCCTGCAGATTGGGCCTCTTGCCTGCTTTAGGAATGATGCTAGCAGAACGCGAAGGAATCTGTTGAACTTTCTGTCTGCAGCCTAAGATGCTGCTGCCTTTGCCAGGGGGAGGAGGGGCTCGACAAGGACCAAGAGGGTTTTGGGAATGTTTCTGGGGCCTCCACACAGACAGCCCCTAGGCAAGGAGGCCCCCTCTGGGCCTGCCAGCTCACAAGTGCTCATCTCCTCTCTTCGCAGCTGCAGAACCCACTGTGGCCCAATCCTGGGTCTGGGAGCCCAGCGGGGCCCTGCCTCGTGTCTCCAGAGGGCATTCCCTCCCCGTGCATGTCTCCGTACTCCCACGCCCATGGCAATGTGGCTGGTTTCATGGGGATGCCAACCTCCCCTGCCGCGCACCCAGGCATCTATTCCATCCATGGCTTTGCTCCTGCTCTGGGGGGCCATGGCTTTGAGCCCTCTCCCGACGGTGACTGTAAGTCTCCAAGCCTCATCTCGCTCAGGGTGAAGCCCAAGGAGCCACCCAGCCTGCTGAACTGGACCACATGATGAAGTCCCAAGGACACACAGACGAGGCTGTCCACCCATTTTTGTTTCCCAATGTTCCCAGCCCACCCACCTCCACCCCCATGCCTGGACATCAGGACATAGCTCTGCCTCTAGGCGGCTCCAGGGAACCTGGGACTGCCACTGAGGCCCTCAGCCCCTGGCTAGCGACTTGCTAGTTCTTTGCTCCTGGAATAAGCTGGGGATGCCTGGGATAACAGGGGTTTCAAGGCAGGTAGGACTGCATCTGCCACCCCAGCTCTCTCTCTGATTGGATGGAAGACATTCCCGGATTTCTCAGGGCTCTGTCCAGGTCTTCCTGTCATTTCTGCAGCTGAAACAGCTCAACTGGCTCCTGGTCTGGGGAGGAGATTGCAGACTGAGTTAGAACAAGTACTCTGGGACATTAGGGCAGCCAGACTCTGCAGGGGCCATCCAGGGTCGGCCTTGCTTCTGCTCCCTACCACCACTGTGCGTGAACCCAAGCCTGGGAAGCAGAGGTCAGCACCCAGGTGCCTGGTGGCCTGCTCTAGCTGTCCCTTCCTCCTGCCCATGCTGGTCTCCCAACATGCTCCAGGCTCATCTTCCCCCCCAAGGGGACAAAGATTCCACTGGAAGTCACCAGATCCACCAGATTCTCTCCCCTGGGATTGGGCTGGAGCCGTGCCGTCAAGACTGCTTGATGCTGGTTGTAAGTGTATATACAGAAGAGGTGCTACCTTGCATACTAATAAAGGTAGCGATGTTGTTCATGCCTGCTCACAGTGTGCCCTCTGGCTGTGGCACATGACTGCTTTAGGGGTCTTTGTCCAGGACCCAGGCTAGCCCAAGACCTCTTTGAGAGGGGTTTGCAAGGGTCCTGGCCTGCATGTCTGGCCCCATCACCTGCCTCAGTGTCTGCAGCTTCAGCCGGTACAGGAGGCAGGAAGCAGAGCCCAGCTATCGGGCCGGGCTCGGGCAGGGCTGGGGAATGAGAAGAGCTTGTGAACTGACTGTGGGAAGGAGCGGGAATGGAAGAAGGGGACACTACTGAATTCTCTGGGCTGCCTAGGGGCCAGGACTCCAGAGTGGAGGTGGGTCAGCAGCTCCCTTCCTCCAGGCACCCCAGGGCACCTCTGGGCTGTGGGCAGAGATGAAAGCCAGAGCTCCTCCTCAGCCTAGCTGTTCTCTCCTTCACCCTCACTTTGTGCGTTATCTCCAAGAGGCAGGAAGACAGAAGCCAGCCCGGCCCTCCCACTTTCCCTATAAACACAACTACATTGCTTAGAGTTCATCCTCTGCCAGGAGCCCAAGAACACAGAGACGGCAGCAAACCCCCAGCGAATCAGGTTTCCCAGCCAAGATGGTCACTACCAGCCCAAGCCACGCATCCCCTGGGAATCAGTGTCTTCAAGCCTGGTGTCCAACAGGGGGAGGGGGCCCCTGAGGGAGCTGGGGGAGAGGTGACAGTGTGCCTGTCCCTTCCCATAGCTGGCCACTCCACTTTGTAACTTGGGAGCTCACAGCACTGCTCTAGAAAGGAAAGGATCTAGGAGGTTTTGAGCAAAGCAAGCAGAAAGAGAAGGAAATGAAATTGGGCCAGAGAACACTGCAGGAAGAGTGGCCCCAGGAGAGGGGGGCAGAGAGGAGAGGAGGGCCCCACCGGGAGAGGCCAGGGCCCGGCTACTGGCTCCCATCCAGGGGCATCTGTCCACAGCTCATATTTTTTTGGCCCGTGACAGCTAAATGAAGAGCAAGCTAACTTTACAGCCGTCCACTTCACACGTAATGAATATGAATGGGCATCCCAGAGCCTGCTCTGCAGGATTATCTGTGAGTGAACGGTCCTCCCACTGACTGGGCCATCCTGGCTGGCCTGTCCCTTGGCCGGGGCACAGGCAAGCCCTTCCACCTGCTTCCCATTAACTGGGTTCCCCTCCTCCCCTTACCCGATCCCCTAAGACACGGCCCCCAGGTCTCCAGATGCCCCTAGCCCAGCTTCACTTGAGGTGACCTTAGACCTCAGCCCAGGCCCTGTGGTTCCCAACGGTCCAGCTAGGGCTCAAGTCTCTCCCCCTGGGAAAGGAAAAGGGAAGCAGCCACACTTAGATTCTCAGCTTCTCCCTGTTTTGGCTGGGGCCCACTCAAGGAAGATTTCAAAGCCCCTGGTCTGCTCCTGGCAGGGCAAGGACACCAGGTCCTGGCTGGGTTTCCTGCCTCAGGCAGCGGGAAATGCTTCTCATTAGAGGCATTCAATCCTCCTCCTCCTCCAGTCATTTACACTTCAACCTGAATTACAGCCCTAAAGTGCAGACCCTCTGCTGCTGCAGCAGATAGGCACCTCACTTCGCACAACCAGGAACCAGGCAGACTGCTACTTTTCCCCAATCCAGCAGAGGGCGCCCCACCCTCTCCTGTGCCCCAGCCTCCCAGTGTCTTTGGAGGCAGATTCCTGTCTGTTAAGGTTGGCAGGGCCATTGGCAATACTAACAATCGCTACCGCTTGGTCATCTCTCGTCAGCCAGGTGTGTGGGTCCGTTACCCAGTCTCTTGCTCAGCTCTCACAATGGGGTCATCAGAAAACAGGGAAGCTTGATCAGTTCAAACTCCCTCAGTGAGCACCTGGAAGCTGGCCTGCCAGGCAGGGCTGTGCAACCCCCTTGTTTTCCAGCTAGCAGGCTGCAGCTGACTGTGCCAAGAACCAGGTGAACCTAACAGCCCTGGCCTCTCCCCTCAGTGCACTCCCTAGAGAACACACAGGAAGTCAGCCTCCCAGGAGTCAAGCCTAACAGGCATGGACTCCAACACAGGAATCCTCAGAGACCCAGGCCGGAAACGAAAGAAAGGAAAAAGAAAAACAAAAGTGGCAGCAACAGCATCTAGGTTACCGGGTGCCCAGTTAGGGCCAAACCAAGGTGCCTTTGCTAGGAGTCTTCTGTGCAAGGGGCCGTACTAGAGCAAATCCTCAGACTGGCAAAGGCAAACACACAAGCAAAGGAATGTACTGGCAGTCAGTGCCAGGAGATAGCAACTTACAGAACAGGGGCGGGAAAGTGGGGAAGAGCAGCGCATGCGCACAGCTCAGTGAGTACTGCTTCAAACTCCATCTCCAGCCCTTATGATGTGATCACAAGCAAGTTCTCTACTGCATGTGGGTCAGTCTTCTCCCCTGGGAAATAGGAGTTTTCCTAAAGTACAGACGTCATACACAAAAGGTGCTCTCGGTGGCAGGTGGCACACCTGGGTACCAAGCATTTGCTCATTCCTGGGTCAAAAGTAAGCCTTCAGGAAGCATCTGGGGCCAGCACTATGGCACCGGTTCAAGTCCTAGCTATTCTACTTTTGATCCAGCTTCCTGCTGATGAGCCTGGGAACACAGAAAATAGCCCAAGTATTTGGGTCCCTGCAGCTTTGTGGGAGGCCTCAGAAATGTTCCTGGCCTTGGACAGGCCCAATTCACTGTGGAGGCAATTTGGGGAGATGGAAGATCTCCCTCTTTGTCTCTCCCTAACTCTGCCTTTCAAATAAATAGATCTTAAGATCAAAAACAGGGCCTGGCGCGGTGGCCTAGCAGTAAAGTCCTCGCCTTCAACACACTGGGATCCCATATGGGCATTGGTTCATGTCCCAGCAGTCCTGCTTCCCATTCAGCTCCCTGCTTGTGGCCTGAGAAAACAGTCAAGGACAGCCAAAGCCTTGGGACCCTGCACCCATGTGGGAGACCCGGAAGAGGCTCTGGGCTCCTGGCTTTGGATTGGCTCAGCTCCAGCTGTTGCGGCCACTTGGGGAGTCAATCAGCAGAAGATCTTTGTCTCCGCCTCTCTGTATATCTGACTTTGCAATAAAAAAAATAAATCTTAGAAAACAAAAACAAAGTAAGCACCTGGCATCATTCCTGGCATGTAGTAAAGAGCAACTCTCCCGATGAACAGGAGACCCTTACCTTCAGGGTGATCCAGCCCCAGGCTGCTCCATCCAGTCATCAGCGCTTGATGAAACTCAGCTTGTTCACCATGGGCCTTCGGGTGATCCAGCTATCCCATGATCCAGATGATATGTAAAACCACCACGGAGACCATGTGGCCCCAAAAGACAATTCTGTGCCAAGACATTCCCAAAGTCACCCTGCCACTCACACACTCTGTGGGCTGCCCCTCCCTGCCCCAGCTGCCCAGGTTCTCTAGCTGGTGCTAGAACACTGTTCTTTGCTACAGTTCAAAGGGAAAACTGGGGAGGTCAACAAAAGGAGAAGGCCAAGGCCTTAGGCCAGGTGGGTTGGGTGAGTACAGTGGGAATGTGAAAATGGCATGACAATCTTGTCTTGTGCAAGTTACTGGGAGGTGGAGGCTGGGGAGTCACAGGCCTCCTCCCACCCCAACATAGGCACACCCTGGCCCCCCCCTGCAGTTCCACCCTTCCTTGCCTACCAGTACCTTAGGCTCAACAGGTGCCAGGCCTGTGCAAATGGAAGGACCGACTTACAGGGCATTCCTAAGCACGAAGGAGGTCTGGAGATGGTGGCTCCTGCGTGCAGATTCAAGGCCCTCCAGAGTTCTGAGAGGGGAGCTCAGATGGTAACACCTGGGCAGGTAGACACACCAGGGACCTGAGAGCTTGTGTGGACTGCAGGAGACCTCACCAGACACCTCTCCCCAGGCCATGGGGCGCAGGCTGCAGGCCTCCCCTTCATCAAGCTGCCTCCCCACTGGGCCCCAGCCCCTGCGACAGCCTGAACCCCAACTCTCTCATACTGAGGCAATCCCGACCAATGACTGACACTAACCCCACCCTAAATCCAGTTGGGAGGGGCTGGCAGTCTGCCAGGTGACCCCTCGGTGCCGTGGGGAGAGGCCACACTTCCTCCAGAGACAGCAATGGGGACTGCTTTTACTTTTTTAATGTAAAGAGTACACAAACACATTAGAAACCCCAACACATCACAGGAGACAACACATACATTTATACACAGATATCTACAGGCCCTTGAGAAGCAGAGAAAAGACACACGCCTTCCTCCTCCCTCA